ATGGCGGGACTCCACACCTCTGGACCGGAAACCCACACACCACTGGATCGATTGGGTGAAGCATCCCGGAGTACCCCAGCGCACTACCCCTGTCTCTTATACACATCTAGATGTGTATAAGAGACAGGTATAAGTCATACTTCATTATTTTGTATTATAATAAAACGGGAGCCAATACCAAATTTGTAATTTAATACACTCACGCATTTACTCTATCCGTTATTTTTTGCCAAGCCAACTCTCTTGCTTTAGCTGATGCAGCTGTATTGCTTCTTTTAATATTATTGGCTTAAACTCCTCATAAGCGTGCATTAAAACCTCCAACTCCGCCTCTGTGAAATACGCCGCTCTCTTTTTTTCGCTTTGACTTTCCATGGTGACTCGTGAAATCGGCGATCCATTGAAAATGTCTTTATATATGCACCGTGCACGCGCATTAACTCTGGGTAACCAGTTGGAGGTTGATTAAACTTACTCTTCTCAGGTGTTTTGGAACCGACATACTCATGGTATGCCTGTTTAGGGTAAATCAACCCAGAGGTTATGATTTATCATATGGTAAGTTAACCAAGCTTTCTGGAATACCCCCCAGGTAATGTGCAGGAGATAGTGCCCTCACCCCACTCAGTCCAGTGGCATGTGTTTTCTCGGGCCAGAGATGTGGGATCTCTTGGTGGCTGGTCTCTTTGGCGGTCCCCAGGCTTCAAGGTTGATAGCCCTGTCTCCATGGCATCAACTGTGTCATGTAAAATGGATGGGCTGTTACTCTGAGAGCTAATGTCGTCGCTGAGCCCAGTGCCTCAACTGGCCCGGCATTGGCACTGTAGACACGGTGGGTGGAGTACCTCCTAGGCTCCATCGGCTCCCAGACAACCCACACAGGGGTTCCTGGTTCCCGCAATGCAACATCCTGCTCTCTGAAGTGCACTAAAGGAGCTGGCAATGGTGAACGGCGCTTCATGATAAAGTTTTATAACATGCAACAGTGTCTGCCTCTATAATAATATTTTTTTTTCTCATGGAATGTTCCCTAAAAAATAGTCAGTGGAGGTGTGCGGGGCTGATCAGCGTTGCCAGGTGCTATTCATCGATCTGTGCGCAGTTGCCAGCTGAATGTCATCAAGCTGTATGCATTAAAACACAATACAGCCGATAAATGGAGAGTCAAAACGCTCAGCACGAGAGAAGCAGACTATATCCCTCTACTAGGAGCAGTGAATGTAAGGCGCAAAAGCCATCAGGGATTGCTAAAGGGGCCCAGGAGGTGCCCACCGACTGGTTGTAGATTGTCGTTGCCAGGCCAGCTGAGTCACTGAGGCACGGCTGGTTTCACGTCCCCCAGAGGAGCGTAGCAGTTGCTGGACCGCCCATTTCTGTCAGTGAGCCGGCTACAGGGCGCACAGATCCAGTATGCCTGGAGCATGGCAGATGCACCAGCATGGCGGGACTCCACACCTCTGGACCGGAAACCCACACACCACTGGATCGATTGGGTGAAGCATCCCGGAGTACCCCAGCGCACTACCCTCTGTGTCTATCTTGCCACCCGCTACAAGTCTTATAAATATGTCCAAAGATATAAAAGATAAAGTCTGTGATGACTTTAACAACATCGCAACATCGATATTTAATCAAGTAGCTGGTTTCAAGATAGAATGTCAGGACCCACATGCAGATTATACTCAAAACTTCCTGCAGATGAAAAACACAATTTTCCACCTCTGTGCTTGGTTATGGCATTCTGAGAAAAAAAAGAGTGGCGTTTATCATTGGTTAAGAAATGCTTTGCTTTCCCTGGGATTCATTACTATTACAAGCCAAATATTGTGTTTTTAAGAAAATTGATTATGGGCTTTTCAATTGTAAACACAATACACTTCAGGCACTTTTGGCACTAAGTGTTTTTTTTTTTTATGGTGTTCATCATGTTTGAACTAAATCCTTCAGTTTCAAACTAAAACTTCGCTCAAAGCTTACTTATTTAAAACCCTTATATCCATACACCATATACTGTAGATATACAATAATATTCAGATGCAACATAGAAACTCCTAATTTTTACAGATTTGAACCAACAAAGGACGAAACACAAGTAACTGAAAAAGATTAGCGGTGAGAAAACGGACAGGTGCTAAAGCTACCAAATTTGTTGGTTTGATATGAATTAAAGTTGGAAAGACTGAAATTCCATAGATAATATTAGCTAAATAAGTAACCATTTTATTTAATATGCAATATTCAAGTTTTGTTGTGTTTTTTTTTCAAATAGGTACATTTTTTTTCTTCAAACAGTGAGATAGTACTTCCTTCCTTCCTTCCTTCCTTCCTCATTCTAATGAGACATTTGGCATGCAGAAAGAAAATATTTAATGTTGTTTACTCTATTTTTCTCGATTCATTAATCTGGCTTAGTTGTACTTACAATCAGCCTCATGCTAACATGACACAATACTTAACACCAAATGCAGAAGCGCTGATGCCAGATTTGACCAGAGAAGAAAGGATAAGTGGGACCAGACACCGGTGTTAGCATTGAAGGATTCTGCTCCCTACAGGGACAAACATGAAAGGAAGTGGAAGAAGCCTCATGAATCCCAGGGAAAGCAAAAACTGAACAAAATATGTTTGGATAAAAGCATTGGTTAAATGCATAAATGTAAATTTAAGCATAAAAAAAGAAGCCTGGTTGACTCCTCTGAAAATGTAGCATTAATGATTGTGGCCAAAAAGTTCAATTTCGGTATACTTGCTCCAAATAACTTTGTTCCAGTCTCTGAGCTTTTTGGTGTATTGTTAAGGGCTACAGTGTGCATTTTTCTTCAATTGTTTCAGTTGTTTTGTGCTCCTCGAAATGGTCACGCCACATTTTTTCACCAAGCCCTGTGGGTTTTTCAATATTTCTGGAAGTTGTAGCAGAAATTTTTGTTGGTTTAAACAAAATCTCTCACTTTCCACTTCTTAATCAGAACACTGCCAGTTGGCATTTCCAGTTCTTTGGAGATCTTTATACATCCCTTTCCTTTTTTTGAACAGTTCAGCTTCCTTTTCCCATAGATCCTTTGGCAGCTCTTTTGCTTTCCCTATCACTTAGAATTCAGAAATGTCAGAACATCACTGGATGAAAGAGCCAAGGGTCTATCAGGAGCCCCAGAAACCTTTTATGTAAAAACATTGATTACAAACAAACAGGTCGCATGTTATCAGACCAAAAACTTTGACATGTGGAAAGTTTCTGTTGTAATTATGATTTAAAAAGAGTTATCACAATAGTTTCTCAATAAATGGCTTCAACCAACCACTAACCATGAGCAGAAAACATGCTTTTGTGTTGATTAGAATTTCTAAAAAATGGATAACAAATCTGAAAAATTGCGTCTGATTTTGTGTAAACTCATGAGCACAACTGTAGATTTATTTTTACCTTCATCCAAACAAGACAGATAGTTACCCAAAATGGTTCATGTATAAATTCAAAAGAGTTGATCTACGACAAATACTGCGAACGGACTTCAAATATTCTACAAAATAGAACTAAGAGCTCCAACTTTATGAAACGTCACTACTGCAAACAAAAATGATCTCACTTCTGTTTGGGTTATTTGTCGGTTTAGACACCTTAAAGGTGCTAATGAATGCACAGTAGTCAAGCTGTGTTTTTTTAAATTACGGTTCAAACCACAGAGAAGACAAGAAGCTACAAACCTACAATCCTGCAAGTAAAAAAAAACAAAAAACATCCCGACCCTGTCAGGATCTGAGTGTCATTAAAACAAGAGAGCGTAGCGTCATTATTCTGTCTACTGTGGCTAATTGGGGATATTGGAAAACAATTGGAATTGTTAAGATTACAGGTATCATCGAATTATTCACAACTACAGGAAGGAATGCTACCTGCTTTACAACTCAATCTGACTGGCAGAAGCTTTCAATGTCCACACACACACAAACACCCTCTTTCGTCTTGTGGAGAAGGGATTCTGATTTTTGGCTAATAGGCTGTCAGTGTATCGGTGAAGAGTGTGTATTAACTCTGTGTGTGTGAGTGCGGTCTAATAAGTGCCCTGACGAACACTAACTAGCTGTTTCCAGCTTGATTTTCAGTGCTTTCCTGTGTGATGTGGCTGAAGGCTCATTATGGCTCCAGCAAATCCTCACAACACACACTTACAACATCACACAGTTAATCTTTCAGCTCGTACAGGCTTAGGGAATGAGACCTTTGTGTCTCCCAGGCAAATGTACACTACAAATATGAAATACGAAAAATGTAAACCTGTTTTCTTTTTCCATTGCGGCTAATGTTTAGGTTCATACAATACTGGCTTGGGGTTTTCGGCTCAAACTCATATAATAACAACAATTCATTTAATCATTTTCAATCATGTTCAATCATCCACCCGTATGGGTTAGAGACTGTGGCAGTGAGGAAGAGATCAGAGGCAGAGATGAGGATGTTGAGGGTTAGTTTAGGAGTGACAAGGATGGACAAGATTAGGAACGAGCACATTAGAGGGACAGCTCAGGTTGGTTGTTTTGGAGACAAAGTCAGAGAGACCAGATTGAGATGGTTTGGACATGTGCAGAGGAGGGATAGTGGTTATATTGGTAGAAGGGGTTAGAGATGGGTTAGAGACTGTGGCAGTGAGGAAGAGACAAGAGGCAGAGATGGAAGTAGCAGAGATGAGGATATTGAGGTTCAGTTTAGGAGTGACGAGGATGGACAAGATTAGGAACGGGCACATCAGAGGGACAGCTCAGGTTAGTTGTTTTGGAGACAAAGTCAGAGAGGCCAGATTGAGATGGTTTGGACATGTGCAGAGGAGGGATAGTGGTTATATTGGTAGAAGGATGTTGGAGATGAAGCTGCAGGCAAGAGGTCAGGAGGAAGACCAAAGACGAGATATATGGATGTGCTGAAAGAGGACATGAAGGTAGTTGGTGCAAGAGTAGAGGATACTGAGGACAGAAGTGGAAACAGATGATTTGCTGTAAAAGAAGAAGAAGCTGTGGCCTAGTAGATAAGGTGATTGACTGGAGATCAAAAGGTCGCTTGTTCAATCCCCATCTCTGCTGGAAGTTGAAGGTTGGATAAGTGTTGAAACTCATTTAACAACTATTACTATGGTGGTCAGTTTCCCCATATCTCCTCGGGCGCTGCAGCTATGGCTGCTCACTGCTCTGGGTGTGTGTTCACTACTTTGTGTGTAGTAAAATCCAAACTCCTGCATCTGAGTCTCTCTCCCTTCTTAGAACTCCCGCATAATACTGGAGTATACATTTTAAAATTAGCTTCGTTACTCCTATTTAATAATAATAAAAAAAAAAAAAACATCCTGATAAATCACACCCCCCCGAAAGAGTAAATTTGATTGTGGTTGGATGAGAAGTGTAAACATATACCAAGTCCGACACCTTATTGGTTGGTACGCGATCCATGATCCCACCTGTGCATCATGTCATACGCTCTAGCAAGGACGCTTGAATAAATTAGCATTTGTCATTGACAATATTTTGATAAACTGAAAAGATATCTGTGCATAGTGAGGTAAGCTGGAATTTTGTCAATGTTTGCAATGTTTGTGATGGCTAGACAAATGTTAAGACAATGGTTTGCATGTTATTACACCTGTACCAGTGATGTTGCAAACTCGTTTGGTGGCTCAGTGTGAGAATTAAATTTAGACTCAAATGCTATCGAGCTTATATAACTATTATATGTCATATTTATTAATATATTGGTAAGAATAATATGTATACAGTGGTACCTAGAGATAAGAATGTGTCTCAGAAGTGTCTCTCCATCCCTTTCACACGCTCGGTATTCTCTACACTTTTGCTTGAAACCGTGTTGGTGTCAGCAATTTGTGAAATATCTCGAGAAAGTTCACTTACCGCCATAATGTTTGCAAAAAGTGCAAAAAGAGGCTGATACGCCTTAATACACTTTAAATCAAACGAAACCGTATGTATAGATAACCAATAATGTACTATAACAAATGTTGAGTCAAGGTGTTGTAAAAGAAATAATGATTTTAAACTGGAAATGTTGGAGATACGAATGCCACCCTGGAACGGATTAATTTAGTACCAATATATTTGTCATCTGTGGCATGTGAACGTGCTTTTGACAGCTGGAGAGGTTTTGTCAAAGAAGTGGAACAGACTCAATTTCAAAACATTGGAAAAATGTTTTTTTTTTTTTTTTTTTCAAAACCAGTTCACAAGTCTCATCATTCACAACATGTTCACTTAGATCTTCACATTATGATACATGTTCACATTATTTATTGATTGTATATAAACAGAACAAAAACATTAAAAATTTTAATGAAGATATGAAATGATACAATGACTGAATGATATTATTGCATATACTAGGCCACAGGTGTCGGGATCCATTCCTGGAGGGCCGGAACCCTGCAGAGTTTACTTCCAACCCTGCTCAGAGAGACCCACACCTGAAGCTTTCAGACACCCCGAAGGACCTAACGAGCTGCGTCAGGTGTGTTTAGTTGAGGTTGGAGCTACACTGTGCAGGGCTGTGGCCCTCCAGGAACAGAGTTTGATACCCCTGTACTAGGCCATCAAATCAGCGTCAGTTGAGTCTCAATGATGTTGCCTGTTGGGATTTTTGAAGACCAGCAGGTGTCAGTATTCAGCGACACTGTATCGACACAGTATTAATACAGTTTCCCATTCGAAATATGTCATGACGCCTCATCTACCCATCACTAGTAAGCAGTCATTGAAATGGATGAGTTTAGCAGGCAAAACTCAATCAAAGCTCCTATCAGAGCTGGTGCTCTCCTTGGCAGCATGAGAAGCGATGGATTCACAACCCAGCATGAGCTCACGTGTCCTCCAGCCTCCCTCCTGGTTGCGTTTGGTCCAATGGTGCCCAATAATCTCATTTTCCACCAAGTCTCTGGCATGACTTAAGTACATAATGTTTTCTCTTTTAATTTTGCTTCTAAAAAAAATAAAATAGTTATGAGCTACATTTCTGTAGAACTAAACCCCTGGAACTAAACTAACTGTTACTCATAGAGAGCAGAAAAGCATAAACTTAGATAGAGCTAAAAACTGGCACAGTGATGGCAGAAAAATGGCCTCTACATGCGCCATGGGACGGCATGAACTTGCAAAATGATCCCACCCTGCATAAAAGCAAGTGCGGGATTTAAATACTCAAACCAATAAAGGGAACAATAAGGAACACAGAAGGCGGATGGAGGGGGGTGATTAACATTGATGATCATAGACATGTGACGTAAGAAACATTATCATGTGACCGAAAGCGGAGAGACTTCCTCCTGAAGAAGAAGGAGAAAGGAGGCAGATACATAAGGAAAAATAAACAGGTGAACCGCAGGACATCGACTGATGGAATCACAGGGTCATTCAAGGAGTCAGCTGACTTCATTCTTTAAGCACTTCCTATGGCTGAACCTATACCTGAGCAGCTAGGGAAACCCCATATCATTGCACTGTCCCCACAGGCTTGTAGACTAGGTAGGATGGGTGCATCACTGCATCTGCCTTTCATCTAACCCTGATGCGCCCATCACCCTGGAACTGAGTTAATCTGGACTCATCAGACCAGATGATCTTCATTGCTCCAGAGTCCCATCTTTATGCTCCTCTACAAACTGAAGGCTTTTTTTCTGTTTGCTAAGGCTCACTGTTTTTCATAAGGCTACAATTGGGACTGGGGTTCACTCCTTCACATCCTTTCACTTTTAAGGATAGCTCTGAGTTCTACTTTTGTTTTGATTTCAACAAAGGTTTAAGGATTTTTTTGTCCCCACTATCCTCCTTGTTTTTAGGACAGTTCTTAAAAAAATTTTTGGGGTAGTTTCTGCCATTGTCTTAGTTGTTTTCTCTGCTTGATGCATGCCTTCTCAAACATGATAAATCAGGCAGTTGGGCCATGCAGTCTATATTTTTATGTATACACAAAAAAAAGATCCAAGACCACATTAAAACAAAATACAAAAAACCATAAATTAAATTGACTGGCGACCTGTCTGGGGTGTACAAGTTCAAGTTCAACTTCATTTGTATAGCGCTTTTCACAACAGACATTGTCTCAAAGCAGCTTAAAGTAAACCAACAAATTAATTAATTGATAAGTGGTGTATATGTCCCTGATGAGCAAGCCTGGGTGATTGTGGCAAGGAAAAACAGCAGTGTGATTTACATAAACTATAGTATAAACAGATGATATGGTAGTATAAAGAGATAATATAGTATAAACAGATGATGACTGTGTTAGGTGCAGGTCCAGGGGGCGCCGGAACATCTCCAGGTGAATCCGGTTGTTAGTTGAGCTGGTGGGTGGAGCCTCCGGGGCGCCGGAACAACTCCAGATGAATCATATATTGCCCAATATGCGGTAGGGCACCGGCAGACCCCAGTGTCCCCAAAAAGCGGGTTGGAAAATGAATGAATGAATGAATGAATGTATATTAAATCAGGTTATGATCACTTCCATGGAAACAGGTTCATAATCAATTGTCGTGGCATGCAAACTGCATTTGTGAATTTTTTCGCCCAGTGAACGAAGAAGCGGAGTGTGGTATTGTTACTGATGATACTAATGGGCCCAAAGTGTACCCCACACCATTACACTACCACCAGCAGCCTGAACTGTTGATACAAGGCAGGATGGATCCATGCTTTCATGCTGATCATGCCAAATTCCGACCCTACCACCCGAATGTCGGAGCATAAATCACGACTCACCAGGCAATTTTGTTCTGATCTTCTATTTTCCAATTTTGGTGAGCCTGTGCTAAATTGTAGCCTCAGTTTTCTGTTGTTAGCTGAAATGAGAGGCACTAGATGTGGTGTTCGGCTGCTGTAGCCCATCACAGTTTTAAAATGTTGTGGCTTCAGAGATGCTCTTCTGCATACCTCAATTGTAATTGGTGATTTGAGTTACTGTTGTCATTCTATCAGCTCAAACCAGTCTGCCCATCGTCCACTGACCTCTGGCATCAAAAACGGAATAACTGCCCACATAACTGGTGCTCACTGGGTTTGGAATGAAAATCAGATCATCTTGACCATGTCTAGAAAGTTGTGTTAACGAGGTGTTGAACAGGTGTTCCTAATAAAGTGGCCAGTGAGTGTATACAACAGTGAATTAAGAAGGATTTGCAAGCAGTAGTCACAAAATTATGAAAAAGCTCATGCGCTACTCCTTGTAAGTAATGGTGTCTCGCGTACACACAAAGACATGCAAACACACACTCAAAGCCTGCTGAGACACTCGTGACATTCACTGTCCCTCTATGAGCCCTCGGAGCCCTGATAACAGATGGCTTCTGCCTGTGAGGCAACCTTTGTGTCATCATTCCACACATCCAACCCTGGACCCTTTACATGGCCAGCTCTGCAGGACATTTGCTTGCGTTCTGACTCTTCTGCACCAAATCAGCTTGACATTCTCTTAATACCACAATGATCTGCAATATTAAATCTCTTCCCGGAAGACAGTCGGCTCACCCACACACACACCGTTTGAAGTGCAAAGAAGTAATTATCTTGAAAGATACACTCGCACACTGTCTCTCTCGTTCTCTCTTTTAAGTGCACTCGAACATCGTCGGTTTATTTTCACTTACTAGTCGAGGATTTGTTCCAGTCACCTGAAGAGACTCATGTTGGAGAGAGAAGAACCTTTGGGTCATGACTTCAGGTCACCAGGATGTGACTGAAATTAGAAAGAACATATTGTTGGATGATAACTACATCTAACTCCATCTCACCCAAGTGGAGAGAGTATAGAGCTTAAAAACTATTAAATGTTACATTACAGATACACATTTACAAATCTATTAACAAATATCTAGCAATTATAATTATAACAGTTTAATTTAAATTGCATAAGGCCATTATCGAAGCATTTACATAAAGTAACTTAATTCAATACGTTGCTGTTAGCATGTTACTCACTAGCCCAATCTATTTTATTCAATGTCTAGTGTCCAAATCTAATTTTAATGGATTTTCCTTAAACCATACTTATTTTTCTGGACAGACTTTAGAGAAGTTCAGGTATGTAA